ATGAGCGCCACCTAACAGTAATCTTGAAAAACGATAGGATGGCCTCTGACGTGGCGAACGCGCGGCGGGTTCGTGTTATCTCGGAGGCCATTACTTGTAGAATTCAAGGCGATGGTATAGGTGCCACCACCGTATCGTCTAAGCAAAGCGCAAGTAACACCCTCCTTTTCGTGCATAGCCTTGCATTGTCAGCACAGCGTTGAATACTTACGTAGGCCCTTTATAGTTAAAAGAAATACGTTTACAGATATTGACGTGTGGAGGTTGTGCCTCATGCATGTGCAATATTTCTTTTTAATCGACAATACGCACAAGCATTAACGCCGAGACACGATCAATATTGGTGGGTGCTGCGGATTCGGTTGGATTTCAGCTGTTTCGGGTGACACACAGACAAGTCAACCGACAGACAGGCCTAAATTTCTACTTGGATGTATCCAAAGAAAGACTACTTTCTAACAGCAGAAAATACAGGGGCCACGTCGAGCAAAGGACCTTGTTTTAAATCTAATAATGGCGTTGTAGAATATTAAAATAACAAATAGTTGTCACGCAAAGCGAATAGCGCAAGAAGAGGGTAGTTCAACACTTGTAACCACTATAGAAGGCGCAGCCATAGCTTTTCATTTTCATCAGCCACAGCGCCAACAGAGGACACACAATGTATCACATAAGCGTTTCAGGTACCTCGACTATCTGCCGTAATAACGAATAATCACATAGTGTGTTCCCCACTTCATGAAAGTTAGTGCATGGTTTAGGGCGTATTGGGTCATATGTCATTGTTTTCGTTGCTCCAATTCCGTCTACAACTTTATCTGAAACACCTTTTCAGCTTTCGCTATGACCATGCTGCGTATTCTGACGATTTTACTTATTATGTAGTTTTTTTTTCGTTCAACAGTGGTTACAGACATTGCCGGTGGCGGACAACTACGGCGCCAAAAGGGCCCTTATTATAATCGCTCAACAGCTTTCACTGTAAAACTAACATGAAAAACGACTGAAGCATTCTCCCCTCTTGACGTAACATAACTGCCTCTGAAATGGCTTCAGACCGACCACTGTGACATGGGTGCTTGGGAAGGCGTTTCAAACAGACTCTACGCAGGCTTTATGTTGTGTAAAAAATCACGTTAGCGGAGTAATTGAGTGTTTCAAGGTAGTGAAATCAAAACCAGGCGTCACACAAGGTGAATAGCGTAACGAGTTGGTCATTGAGTGCTTCCAACACATTACAAAAGACCCGACCAAATTTCCTGATCGTCATCGGACGCAACGTCAACAAAGTGCACAACGTGTCTTACAGGTGTGTAGCGGGTAACGCGCTTTTCCGAATATCGAATAAAGCATAGTGGACGCTTCCTTACTTCTCAAAAAGTATTCTTTATGTAGTGGGTGACATGCAAGTGTACTTAGTATAGTTTCCCCAAAGGTGTCTATAAGAAAGGTTCATCCTGTTTTCGTGGCGACTGAACTGCGGGCTTTTTTTTTTCAATTTTAATGAAGTCAACATATTTGTAAAAATGACTAATGTTTCTGGCGCATGTGTGAATCTCATTATAACATATTTTTTATTTTGCATGTTTTTTATGTATAGACACTTCGTAACTTGGTGCGACGCAATTTTCTGCACCACGCCACAGTCTGCCCTTCTGTCTCTAAAATACGGATTCACATGTTACCCGCACGTTTCTTCTCAATGAATAAATAAGACATATCAGCTTCTTGTGGCATAATTACTTCTTTAGTCTTCACTTGTTTTGCACAATTTACCGAGGGAGGCTGTAACGAATTTCAAAGTCGGATATCCGAAAGTCTTTTCATCGCCGAGGTCCAGTCGGGTCCTAGGTACCAACGGGGGAATCGGCAGTAGATTTCTCAGTGTCACGACGAGTTGGTACGGGATGACGACGGGTATTCCATGCGCTGCGAATGACTGAAGGAGGAGCACAAACGCCACAGCGTTGCCTCCTTCCTCCAGGGCTTGATGCGCCCACGTGCCTTTCATGATTTGGTTTGGGAAGATTCTCAGCAAGCTCACCAACCAAACGTAAGATACCTGAATAGCATACCTAATCGCTGCACAAAAAGATTGTCACCAAATCATTACTCGGCGATTCAGAAGCACGACGTCGTTGTTTACAAAACACGCTTAAGTTCTTGCGTGCCAGTCCTTTATATAATCTATCAGCTTTCTCCGGCTTCACAGAAGGGTTGGCACCCTTCCGTCGGCTCTTCTCACACTTACACATATCCATATCTCTTACTACAGTGATGTACTACCATGAGCAATACAATCTGGAATACCTTCATATTTTTTATTCATTTTACTGGCATTACAAGTACCGATATGAATGCCAAGAGCCGTGATCAATGATTATTAGTAGCTGACTATTACGAATCTACCGTAATGAACTGCCGGAAAGACTGCCCTCCCTAGTTGGGCTTTTAACCATGAATGCTCTGGTGCTTCCCATCATCGGTGAGCTGCTTTGACCATTCAAAGGCAACAAGAGAGATCTAACTCATACTACTCACGACTCTGCATCCACTGTAGACTTCGCACACGCTTCTAATTCATCCTTGACATCTACACCTCATTTAAGTATGTCACGAAAAAACTTCTCTTTCATTCATGCATTCAACCAGTGCATAAGCGATTTACATTCATTATTTGTCGCCTTTTTTCACAAAGACAACAGCGATATTGTAGAGAAAGTTGAATGTTTGTTTCGACAAGTACTGTGTTTGGTCTCACAGCACAATCATCATCGATTAATTAGTGTAACAATGTTTGTTCACCTGATTTGGTGATTTTGATTCCAGCACCGCTTTCGGGTGGACTAATAAAACACGCACAAAAATGTCCTCAAATATATTTAATGTCTAAACTCTGGCAGAGATTTCAGGTTGGCTAAAGCGATATACATGACCGAAACATATGTTTTGACCATCGAAAGATATGAACAAACGTTACGTGAGATCATTCGCCATAAGACCGAGGAGAAACTGTACTGCTTATAACATATTGGCTTCACATATTTCACGTATCTTCGAAAAAAAGTTTGCTTTACGTCGATACCGAGATGACCATATGGTCCCCACTAATTTGAATATTTTCGTTATTGTTATATTAAACAGAAAATACCTCCTCGGCCAAAATACCAAAGCACCGACTGGTCGCAGTTATCTCACGACGGCTCAATCAAAAGAAGTGCGCCATTGGTTGCGCAAAGCCAACCTTTTGTTTCGTTGATTTTCTTTCTTTTCAATTCTGTCGGTGCCATCGCACACTCTCGTAGCCGCAGCACATGTGTTCGTGCAACAAAGTGCACGACATCTTTACCGCAAATTCCTATGCCGCCATTGGATCGCTATGGAAGCATGTTGAGTGTTTGCGCGTTAGTGAATATGCCGCTATCAATCACTTTATTTCAGCAGATAAGCATAATATGGCAAGTAAATAAGTCCACTGCTTTTCTATATGCGATGCATCACAAAAAACGCCGCTATCAGTTTTCTTCCTGCTCTTCACTGGTTGGATTATTAGTTATTGCGAAAAGTGTACAGCCGAATCCGCATATATTGAACTTACTAAAAGGAACAATTACTTTTATATGTAGAATAGTTCGCTATAATGCTTCGAAAATTCTGCCGTATCGAAGCGAATTTCGGGGCTCACGTTGGCTTCACGGCACTCCTTCAAAATAACGCAATGAAGCCGGCTCCACGGAAACAAGCGGAAATGTTTTTTTCTGGTTATTTTCCCACTGTATTAATGGTGCAGGATATATATGTGGACGGGCCTTATACGTTGGAAAATTCTATTTCATTCACCAACGCCACATTGTCGCATGCAGCTGCGCGTTCTTGTCGCAGGCGGGAGGCTTTAGTATGCGATGGAATTAGTCTTATTCTGTTCTTTTTTTATTACCGTGCAGGGCTGGTGTTTCTCTTCCTTTTATCCTTAATCGATTCATTATAGAGCTTCCACTCCTCCTTCTCAAAACTTTGCTGCATCTAACGCGGTTTGGCTATGCCCCTGGTTTGGGAGGCATTGCGAGCTTTCTGCACCTGATTGTCGGCCTCGGTGGAACAGTGGCTACGCTGCTCGGCTGCTCACCCAAAGGTCGCGAGTTCGATCCCGGCTGCGGCAGTCACATTTTGATGAAGGCTAAATGGCAGAGGCTTGTTTACTGTGCCATGTCACTGCACGTTCGAAAGCACCAGATGGTCAAAGTTTGTGGAGCCCTTCACTACCATGTCTCATAGACATATCGTGGTTTTAGGACCTAAAGCCCCAGATATGATTATTATATTTTGCATCCGATCTGTTCTTGCACTGCCTCTAATATTGGCCCCACATGGTTATTCTCGAAAAGGCTTCCTTGAAGGACACGGTATATCCACGAAGTGAATGATGATGAGTGGGCGAAGCAGAGCGATCATTCTGTCTTACCTTGATTCCCCGTATCATTGAACACTCACGCATGCAAGTGAGTGACAAAGCACTGCACAGTTATCTGCAAGGTTTATCGATCATGAAGGGTATGTTGTGTGTAGTTGTCAGTTGCGTCTTGCCTTGATTATTACTGCCTTTGTGGTATCTGATCTAGCCTCGAGATGGCAAAGACAAGGTCTCTGCATGTTGTCCTGGTCGTTGTTGGTTGTTTTCAGTCATACAAAATTTAACGCATACAGCATATCGAGATGTCATATACTGCACAGGCCAGTCATTGTCCGTAATCACTATCGTCATCAGCGTCATCCCGATCCAAACGGTATAAGCGTATCGCCATCACCACCATAGTTACGGTGCATGCCAACGCCGCCAACGGACAAGCCTCCACCTCAAGAAGTTTCACCCCTAAAATAAGACATTTTTGCTCATTGGCTTCTTAGTGGGCAAGGGGCATGGCGTCAGGTGACCAGGCGCCACCGTACGCACGAGCAGCTCGTGGCCTGGAACGGAGCGCTCGCCCCTGCGCTGCAGAGCGATGGCCGACAACATTCCCAGCAGCGAGGTCCTCGCCGTGCCGGCTGAGCTGTACGCGGCCGCCAGTCCCTTTCCGCCAGCCGACGCGAGCAACGCGCAGTTCTGCAGCGGTGGGGGCTGGGCGGCGGCCCTGTGGAGCCTCAGCGTCACCACCACACTGCTGCTGATGGCGTCGGTGTTGGTCACCGCCTTCGTCACCGCAACGCTGTTCATCTCCAGCGGCGGCGCTTTCTCTTCGATGCCACAGCAGCCTACTATCACGGCCAAAGACGCACCGCCGCCATCGTACCACGGCACGCCGCCCAAAATGCCCACTGTGCCTAGGTAAGACGTCAGTGCCTGTACGTGACGTGGTTAGGGCTAACTGCGTTCGACGACAACGTTTAACAGCGAAGCTGGGCGTAAGAACTTTGGTGTTTACGCCTGTGTAAAAAAAAAAACGCCAAAGCTTGCGTCAAGTCCCGCGAGGCTAAATGACGGCGAAGATGGTTTATCACTAGCTTCGCGTGAATGGCCAAACTCCAGAGCGAGTTCGCGCTCAGTAAAGCGGGCTTTGGCACCCCCGCCCCCCTCCTGTTGAAGCATATAGGTCCGTCGTCACTCATTATCGGCCTCCCTAATGTCAGGGTCTTAGCGTAAGTTGCATTATCGTCGCTCCCCTAGAATTCTCTCGTCGAACGCATTCTGGATCTGCAAGCCTCTTCTCTGCAGCATCTTTGGCTAAGTAGGACGAAACCGTTCGGCACCTCCCGAAAGTCCTCGCGGCGTGTATGGCGTCAGAAGCTGATGGCGAGCGATGGCTCCCTCCGGCAATGTGCGGGTTCTCGCACAGTGGCTCACAGAGTAACCTGCGGGGGCCGCCCCCACAGGTATAGAAAGCCACTAACAGCTGCTACGACCCCCTCCAGCATCTTTTCTCGTCTTCGCAAACACGGAGATATGTCTTGCAGTGATACATTCCTCCTTAGTTTTCATTTGCTTAGTGATATCTCCCTAATTCGCTTTCATTTTGCTTTTTCCGAAGAGCGCTGCGGTAATAGCGGCAGCCGGTGTAGGTTGAACCCGGTCATGTTCACGTCGGTTTATACAAGCGAGCTTCGAGCTATTCTGCGTCGGATTTCCTTTCACGCGCGTTTTGCCTCACCGGCACCGTCCCACCTGCACGTTCTCCGGGTGCATGCCGAATGGGCGGATTGAGTTGCCCTACATGGCCCTGTTCTTACTGTCCTGTGTGCCTCTCCTAACAGCACGTCGCCTCTGCTTTTGTTCTTGCAAAGGAAATTGCTAATAATAAAAAAACAAGATGAACAACGTGTGTACATAAACAGTATCTACCGCGGCTACCGGGCTTATTATCGCATTCTCGGCGGCTGACCGCCTGTGGCGTTCAAGGAAGAATAAGCGGCGAGTGCCACTGGTTTGGAGGCGTTGAAACTTGACCTGGACATCGGGTCTTCGGGTAACGGAAAATGGGGCGATGGGGCGGCCAAGGGCTTTTGTGCACTGCGTTCAGAACGCTGCGCGTTGGAGACTGCACGTTTTGTCTGAGCCCTGGAATTCTTTGTCGCTCATAATTCATGCGTCATCGTACAGCTTTCCCGTTGCCTTCTACGAATTTGGAGCTTCTTCATATTCGGTTGCTCTACCTTGCGGGAGAGAGGGTTTTCCACTGATGTGTGCAGCGAGGGCGGTCGTCGGGCTGACGCACGCTGACTGACTAGAACGAATTTCTCGTGGACAGTTACAATTGTTTAGGTATCATGGAGTGGTGGAGTCAGAACCCTTGAAAAGCCGCCACGGAACTAAGATGCAAAGAGGAACAGGAGACCAAAGAATCTGCTGGTAAAGGAGCGTCGTTTTGGCTGCGTGAGAGGGATATTTTGGAGAAGTCTGGTTGCTTGAAGCCCCGTGAAATCAAAGAAGATTATTAGGTGCCTGGAGCAAAATTTTGCCGTGGCTTAGCTCGGTTATGCCATATGTAGCGTTAGCTAAGGGGCTTTCGTTAAGCTTCACCATATAGTCAATCCCTCGGCAAGCCTTGACGCCATTGACGGCGTCTTGTTATTGCTGGGATGGTCGGGCACTGCGATCAGCCTCCTGGCGACGCCGCTTTGCTAGACTTTCTTCCCTTTGCTCCTGTGTCTCTGCAGTACTTTTAGCCTTGCGTCGTTCATTGGTTGTTAGCCTCTCTCGTTACTAACACTGAATCACTGGCTCAGTTTGAGTCAGATTGAAAAAAATACCTTAGTATGTTATATTGTAAGTAGCATCCTTCATGCAAGATGCACATGTACTTGTAAATTTTGCATGTAGTCGTGTGTTGAGCTTCCAATGTTCATGTGCCATTTTTATCTACTCGTATTTCGTTTATGTGTTGTGCAGTGTAAGTTGCAGATGTATAATGAGCTATGTTGATGTTACTCTTTTTTCTTTCTCGTGCTGCTTGGTTAATATGATGAGTATTCATAGTAGCTGTACATATTGACCGCTTGCTATAGTCTCAGTAAAACTGGCACTATTGCGAATAAATAATTGAAAAAATAAATATCAAAATACTCTGCCACACTGAGACCTTCATTTATTTGCAAAAATTGCACTGATATTTGTCAGTGGACATTGGAAAAGGTTGATTTGAGTGTGCGTGACCAGTTCCATTTCTTTTTTATGCGCTTTTAAAGGAGTAGGCTTGTTGAAAAACTCAAGAGACCTTGCGAAAATCGCACGCGCCTACGAAAATGTGGCCTTTCTGAAATCTGAATGAGGTGGCAGCACGCTGTCTTATGAGTATCGCACGATTTTCTTGGACTTGTAGTACGTTTATTAACCCACAACCAGCAGATTTCTTAAACCATGGCTGCCACTTAGCTCAACACACGCACACACACACACACACACACACACACTTGATGAAGGCCACACTCTAGGCCGAATATATATATATATATACTTCCGGAGCCCCTAAGCGAGCTGTATACGCGAACAACGGACCCGTAGATGTATGGGAGGTGCGAACGCTCGTTTACAGCACGAGTTCTTTCTCTGGAGTTTGGACGTACGTGTCCTGTCAGTGACTGTAAGTGATCCTGCTCGAAGCTCTCTTCTTTGAAAAGCAACCAACGAACAATCTAGCATAGTCTTGCTAAATGCTTGCAACAACACAGCAGCAATAATCAGGTTAGACTTTTTCATCGTCCGGCCAGCTTCGCTCCTTCAAACCTTGCGCTACTTAGTGCAAGCTTAGACTTTTTTTTTCTTATATCAACTTGCCATTTGATGAAAAGCTAAACGACGAGAGACCGTAATAGTTGTCTGGATAATTACTGTGCATTTAGAGGAACTTGTCATCCAAACTCAAGCGATCAAGCTACCACCCATATTAGCCAATCAATAAACTCAGATTCTCCGCTGGGGCACCGGGGTAAATGAGAGCCACCTAGACCAGATGCGATAGAAATAAACTGCAGTGTTAAAAGTAAGACTAGCAGCTAAGTTCTTCAGTGTGCGGTTTGGCGTAACCCGTAAAATCGCACAAGTACGCAGATATGGAGGTCCCACGGGAAGCCAGCGCCAACCAGGTGGCGCACCTCCATTAGAGTGCCTCGATGCCCATAGAGTTTCCTTATATACACTAGAGGGAACTAACTCTGGCGCTAGTGTCTATGGGAGCTGCAACGCACGTCGTTTCAGCGAGCATGGGAATGATGGGTAGTACACACATTTGTGTAATATTCGTACTTCTGGCCTGCTTATGACTCCGTGTGTGTTCGTGTGGTTTGAAACTGTTTTTTTTTTTTACAAAACAAATATTAGCAAATGTTCAGCAGTTGCGCTTCGCCATCTAATTTTTTTTTAAACTTACCTTTCCAAATCGGGTCACGAAGTTCAAAAGGGTTGAATCTTTCTTTCAAAACAAAACCGAAACACAGCAATAAACGAAGCCCCAAGTACGATTCCCTGCCCACAAGTACGAAAACTAGGCAAATGTGTGTACTACCCATCATTTCCATGGTCGCTGAACGATCGCAGCGCCAGAGTCGTCTCTAGTTAATTGTAGGAAACTCTATGTCGATGCTCGCTCATCCGGCGCGCGCATCGAGGCACCCTATCTTCAACTATAGTGTACTAGAATACGGGGTAGTGTGTTCAGGGAGGAGCCTTGGCTGCCGCAGTTGGTATTGACAGCCGCGAGAAGGCGCCACCTTAGCATGGGCTGTCACATCACGCATTGTTCCTTATGCACTTCTGTGCTTTGATATTAGTAATATCAGGGGTTATCCGGAGTAAATGCATACATATCATATCTTGGTACTACAGTACCATGTTGCGTTCTTCTATAGAAAATACATTGCAAGTACACTGTGCTATTCGTCGATTCCTCAATGCACAGTCATGACGCAGTAAAGTCGACATGTATCACACACTCCTGGGAAAACAGTCAATTGGCCATCAGCTCTTTTCCTTTATTCACCTCAGCATAGAAGCCATTTTGTTCATTAAATGAAGCTTAATAGTTCATCGGTAATAAACGTCTGAAATTATCAAAACATTTATATGTATTCGTCACTACAGTTCACGTAAAGCTTTTCTAACACTTGTTCAAATCATTGCCACGGCAGAGCAAGCTTTCCAGACGTGTTCTATGACGCACCCTCGCAAAGCCGCCGCAATCGCGCCTGTACCTCGACGGCGTGCGTGGAGTACGCCCGCCGACTGCTGCGCCAGATCAACACCAGCCGCGACCCCTGCAACGACTTCTACGCGTACGTGTGCGACGACTGGGTGCGGGCGCGGCCGCTGCCTCTCGGTAGTGAGCGGCTCTCGGTGGACACTGCCCTGGTGGACGGCTACGCTGAGCTACTCGCCTCGGGACTGCGCGACAATGCGACCAGCCGGTTCCCGCCGCTGCGCTTCCTCATCGACAACTGCCTGCGGCCGCAGCCGAACCTCTTCCACGCCCTGCGGGCCATGTTCATGGATGCAGCCCGGCTTCGACCATGGATGGCGCAATCGAGCGCGCGCCGCCGTCCGTCGCCCGTCGAGGTGTCGCACAAGTTGGGCGTCGCCTACCGCGAGCTCGGCGTCGACGCCCTCTTCAGGCCCTTCGTGGTCAAAGAAGTCTCCTCAAATGACACCCGCCGCTTCGTGGGGCTCGGCGAGCCATCCACGGTGCTCCTGCGTGGCCCGCTCGAGCGCCGAGAGTACGAGCTGGTGCGCGTGAGCTTAGCGCCCCTGCTGGGCTTCTTCCAGAACCAGACGGACGCCGACCTCCTCCAGTTCGAGGACAGACTGGCGCTCATGCTCGGCCGGCCGCAACTGGACGCCGCGGCGCTTGTCAATGCCAGCATGGTCAAGGTGTTTGACCTGCCCTCGCTGAGGAACATCGAGTGGACTAGCTTCCTGCAGAGCGTGTTCGGCAAAGGGCTTCGTCCCATCACGGCCCGGACGTACGTAAAGCTGGCTTCGCCTGACTACTTCCTTCGCTTGGCGCGTGGGGACCTGCTGCGCTTCTCGAGCGACCTGCTGGGCTACCTGCTCTTCCGCATCACCATGGCGCTGTCGCCTTTCATCTGGAAGCGCGAGCTCCGCGATCAGCTCGCCTCGGTGGCCTACGCGCGACACCCAGAGTTTGCGCGTGCTCTCCCGCAGAGCCACTACTGCCTGCGCCTGCTGAACCGCTTCGAGCCCAACCTGCCGCTGCACGTGTCGCGGCGCCTCGCCGAGTCTCTGCTGGGAGGTGAGAACGCCGTTGAAGACCTGGTGTCTACGCTACGCCTCGTCCTGCTCGAGTCCGTCCAGGCGCAACTGGGCCCACTGAACAGCGAGCTGCGCGCGCACCTTCGCGACAAGCTGAACGCCGTCTCGTGGGAGCCCCTGTCGCCCCGCGCTATGGACAGCGAGTCGACGCGAGCCGAGTACGTGGACGGCGTCTACCTGAGCAACTCGCGCCTCTCCACGGCACAGTTCGTCTACACCTGGATCCGCAAGTCGCTCGAGAAGAAGCTGATGGCGCACATGAGCACGCGTGCGGCTGCCGCAGGCGGCGTGGCGGCCTACCCGGGCTGGACGGGCGGCTTCCTGAGCGCCGAGAGCCAGTTGCCACCACCGTACGAGAGGCTCGAGATCCCGCTGCCCGTTTTCGACTTCTTCCTCAACGAGGACCCGTCTCTGCGACCCTTGCAGATGGCTAGGGCGGGCACGAAGGTGTACCGGCCCCTACTGCGTGCCGTCTACCACTGGGCCTACAACTTCGAACGCGGCAGCAACGCATACGGAGCCGAGACGGCCCTGTCGCGTCGCATGAACGACTTGAGGCGCTGCCTGAAACGCCAGTACTCTGCCATGTCCTGGACCGAGCAGAGGCCGCAGCTGGACGCATCGCGCACTTCGTGGTCTGACCTGTGGGGCAGCCTGGCGTTGCGGCCGGCACTGGACGCGTTCCTGCTGGACAGTGGTCGCGTGGCGCCTGACTATCGGCTCGCCTTGCTCGAGCACTGGAACGCCAGTCAGCTCTTCTTCGTCTCGTACGCCGCCAACATGTGCGAGAACGGCAACCAGCGCTTCCTGCGCAAGATGGCCGCCCAGGGACCACACAGTCCCGCCTGGTTCCGTGTTAACGGCCCGCTGCGCAATTCGCTGGAGTTCGCGCGTGCTTTCGGCTGCAAGGTCGGTTCGTTCATGAACCCCGCCGACAAGTGTGCCCTAATTCACTGAGTGCGCCCCTCTGACAGACCTTTGTGAGATCTTGTTATATACCGACAGAGAAATGAACTTTAGTGCTGTGACGTTTTTATTCGTATATTTCGCGCGTGTATTTTCTTCATCATGTGCAACGCCGAACGAAGACTCATTTGTTCAGTGTATTTTTATTATTTAGTATGCTTAACTGCGTCAGTGTAGTGTATGCGAGTGTGCGATGTGACAGTGAGCTGATAAACTCACGTCGCACTTGTTAATTATCTCAACGGGTTGTCGCCTCACTGATTGTTTACGTGGGCAGTCTTAAGTCCTTAGTTCTTACGTATATGCTGTACCGTTGTTCAATCGCGTTTTTTGAGACATTGCGCAATTTCGACAGTATGCACTAGCAACTTCGGCGCTATAATACGAACATCACGAGCACACACATTTTTCGTTTGGCCGAGTAATTTGCTTTTTCGCGCTTACGCAGTTTCATTGTGAACTTTTGTGCCTAGCTCGCAAATATTCAAGGCTATAATAAAACGTTTTGCGTTATTAGCAGTTTCGAACGTGTAGTACTCTCCCACAGGTAAATATGTATACAGTCTCTTTTCAGTAGAACGACACACCAAATTGATCCATGCACTGACTAGCGGAGTAACTATCGCTCTAAGAAAAAAAAGTATTCGGGGAGTATAGTTCTGCGACTCGACGATAATCGCCATCTGAGTTCCCGCGTTTCCTTTTTTTTTTTTTTGAAAACCCGGCGCTGGCTACTTTCTTCTCAAGAATCGCTATGTCACCCTTATTACACTCCCGCTGTTCGTGACCGCAAACCATGGCGATAACACGAGGAAAGTACTCGAAGGAGATGACTATTATTGTTGTGGGGCAGAAACGCTTCCCAAATACTCGATTTTTTTTAGAGTGCACTCCCAGGTGAATTGTACACAATAATGGTGAGTAGTCTTCGACGAAATTCTGCATGGTGCAATCATGACTGCGTGGTTAGAGTGCAAGTACGCATAAGCGATAGCACTATACGAGAACACAACGCAAGGGTAACATTAAAGGACATCTGGCAACAAATGTGAAAATTCTCGATGCTTGTGTTGAGTGTTCTGTGTGCAGCTACACTTCTCAGCAATTATTAGTGACAAGTGTTGCATGTAAGATTTGGTTAGTTTGGTTTTAAAGCAAGGGCGAGTGCTGAACCGAGTATTTTCGTCGGTTCGACATTTTCTGTGGTTTGGCGCAGACAGGCCTCCTCGGGACGTGGCAGAGGGCAAACAAGTATATTTGTCGACGTCATAAAACGCTTGCGGGGCACGTAAATACCCCGACTGTAAGTCGACGAGGGCTATTGTTCGTCACCACTCTCGCTCTTCTGTCGGGCTGCTCCCAAGGTGCTTTTGGCTGCGTACGCCATGGATGTTTCTCTTTTTTTACAGCGAAATGGAATGGAATGAAAAAACTATTTCAGTCCTGCAGGACGCGCTTAGCGCGTAGCGGGCGTCTCCCACGTATATAGGGACCGACAGGGAGTACCTGGCGGCCGCTTCGTGGGCCTGCTGGACGGCCCATTGCTGGTCGGCGAGAAGTGAGCTCCTGAGGGACCTCTCCCACTTGCTTGAGGTACAGTCGGGAGGAGTTGTTCTACACTCCCAGAGCATGTGTGCTGTCATAAAATCAGGAACGCAGGTCACGTTTGGCGCGGTAGTTGCGCACCGCCGCCGCCGGTGTCCGTAACCGATATCTCAAGAAATCGGAAAAACGCCAGGCCTGCGCGGAAGGCGCAGCGCAGTTGCAGCGAAAACTAGAAGAGAGACCTTTCAGATCCTTTTCTAAACAATAATTGTGTAACTACTGCAAGCACACTTGCTTGATGTCCACTACGACATTAATAAAAAAAATTAGGGTAGTAGGCCGGGATTTGCTATGCCATTTTTCGTCATTCTTCTGATAAGCCTATTCGTCGCTACACTACAAACTGGAGCGACGGGTTGTACCCTCCACCCCATCCAAGAGTAACCAAAGAAGAGAGCGTGATTTTCAGACGCCTACAAAGCAATGCTTACATACATGGCATATTAATGCACCGCCTCTACCCAACGACACATGGCCACATCATCATCATCAGCATCATCATCATCATCATTTATTGAACCCTTAAAGGCCCCTTGCGGGGTATTACATAAGGGGGAGGCAAAAACACAACTCAACAGATGCATGATTGTCAATGGTAAAAGCATAATCGATAGTGAACTACAGGATAAAAAAACAATATCAGCAGAAGGAAAATTATATATATACGTGGAAGAAAACGGCAACAATTGTAAATTAACTTACATATCAAGTCATTTGTGATTAGCTGTTTAAATTTTAAGTGGCTTTGTTCGTGCACTATGGATTCAGGCAGGTTATTCCAGTCTTCAATGGCAGTAGGTAAAAATTATTAATTGAAAGCGTTAGTTGAACCATGTAAGCGCTGTAAACATAGGGAGTTAAAGAGGCGACGCGATGAACGAGCGGGAGGTAGAAGAACGGTATTGCGTTGCGACGGGAAATTATGGTATAGCTTGTGCAGAAGGCAGAGCCGAGTGACTTTGCGGCGAATTTCTAGAGGAGGGAGGTTGGGGGATAGTTTGATACTGGTAATACTTAAGCGAGAACTGTATTGTGAGGTGATGAATATGGCAGCGCGATTTTGAATTGCTTCTTATGCGTCGATTAGGTAATTTCGGTGAGGGTTCCAAATAGCAGAAGCATATTCAAGTTTTAGTACGCGTGAAGGTTTCGTAAGCTAATTTTCGGATCTGCGGTGGGCAGGACGTAAACGATCTTTTAATATAGCCAAGTGATTTTGCTAAAGCGGTGACTAGTTGTTCTATGTGTTCGGACCATGTTAGTTTACTTGTTAATATTACGCCAAGATAACGATAGGAGTCGACCTGGGTTAAGGGCTGGAAGTTCACAGAATACTGGAAGGAAAAGTTAGTGCGCTTGCGCGAAACTTGCATGAATTTACATTTTTGGGTATTAAGCTGCATCAGCCACCGCGAACACCAATTATGTATGTTAGATAAGTCATTCTGGGGTGTAATTTGGTCAGTGCAACATGAGATGCAACGGTAAAGCACACAATCGTCTGCAAAAAGGCGGATGGTGGATGAAATTTTGTCTGGAATATTATTAATAAAGATTATAAACAAAAGAGGCCCAAGAACGGAACCCCTCGGTACACCGGAAACTACATCAACACGGGTTGATTCATTATTCGCGACAACAGTATACTGAACACGACCGGTTAGAAAATTTTTAATCCAAGATAGGGCTAAGGGGTCTATACTGAGACAAGAAAGTTTACTTATTAGACGGCGGTGGGGAACAGGGTCGAAAGCTTTGGAAAAGTCGAAGTATATTACGTCTGTTTGAAAAGAAGAGTCTGGGTTAAAAGAGTTTAGGTCATGTGCCCGCTCTGTAGCGTACCAGACACCCTGGCACACTTGCTTCTGGAATGCCAGTGCCATGCTAACCACGACGTGCAACTGGAGGTGGACCAAGCCCCAAGAATAAACGACAACCAACTAATGGAAACGTGGGAGGCCAAGATCGTCCACGAGGACCTGGAAGACCAGCAACAACTCGTCGCCAGGGCCATGAGGGCAATCAAAGCCAGAGGGTTCCTGGACTAGGAAACCCTCCCACGATAGGGTGACACCGGGCCTTGCTCGGAACACCGTTTTCTAAATAAACGTTGATTTTTCTCTCTCTCTCTCTTCTGATAAGCGTAATATCCGCTAAACTATTGCGAGGAATTTTGTGCCAATTGTTCATGCAGTGGCTGACGACGATAAGGAATTATGCCTGAAGTGGGTATGCGCCACAGTTAATAGCTGAACAAGATCGAGCTGTTGTAATGGGTTGTAGCATTGGACGACCTAATCGTTGCGCTATTTGCATTGCGATGACTTCTTGTTCTTTCGCTGTTTTAAAACATTTTATAAGTCGTATTAACACGATTGCTTTCTCGACATCAAGCCTGCCTTAGGCAAGCTTAATTACCAACAAGTCCCAAGCACCGGCATAGCTCAGTGGTAGAATACTGGACTGGCGCCAAACGGACCCGGGTCAGAGCCCCACGTTGTCATTAATACTGAGTTTTCTTTTCTCTTTTTTTTTTGCCGATTTCGCGTGATGTGGTTACGTATACACCTGCGGTGGCGGACAACTGCGGCGCTTCGCGAGACCCCTGATGTGATCTCATAACAGCTTTCGCTGTAAAAGAAAAAAACGCGGTAAATCAAAAGCGCCAAAGACAATGGGATTATAACCTGAGTCCACTGCGTGCCAGCCAAGCATTCTACCACTGAGCCACGCCGGCGCTTGAAGCTCATTTCAAAAGTACCTTTCCTGAGCCTTGATGTCGGAAAAGGAATCGCGCAAATGTCGCGTTTTAGAACATCAAAGGAACAGCCAAGCGTCACATAATGCGAATCACGTAAAGAATTGCCCGTCATATTATCCAACCCATTACAAGAGCTGTGGCGCATGCCCACTTCAGACATAATTCTTCATCGTCGCCAGCCACTGCATCGAAATATTGCACAACATTCCTAGCAAGTGTGTATAGCGTACGCTTTTCCGAAGAATGATGTAGGATTGCATAGTGAATGCCAGCCTACTACACAACAGTTATGATTATTTATGGCGTAGTAGGTACCCAGAAAATGTGCTTACAGCAGTTACAACGCAAGATTCGTGCTTCTCCAGGGGAAACCGCGAAGGGCAGCTGCACTTTCTTTTCGTGGTTTTTTTTCAGCACTTCATTCAAGTTCATAGCGTCGCAGCCGACCACGTAACAGTAATCTCAGCCGCTAGCTGTTTAGCAACTTTGCGTATTGCAATTTTTGAACGGGTATCTCGTTGGGAAAGTGTGGTAGGGGTATGGTGGCTAGAAGGAGAGGTGTCAGCATCGTCCCGGCCGCGCCTTGAAAGGCGCGGCACCCGTCTCCGGGTGCGGGACTGGCACA